TTAAGTTTGTTTGGACGGACTGTAAGATAGAATTGCGTGGCCAAAATTTTTCCTCGTATTTAGAATGAGTCGCACGCGTGCCCAAGGGGCCAAAATCGGACACGTATTGCGTGCACCAAACGGGCATTCTAACTTACAGTCCGTCAATATAGCTACTAGCTACTAGCTACAGGAGGTGGGGGGAGCTTCCTTGAAGAAGCACTCGCACTAATGACTGGGCTCCTAGATTCTTAAAGAAACCATAATCCTATCATCTGATTATCCTCTCATACAAAGTAGAGGATACTTGAGATGGCATTTGAATGACTACACCTGTCGCACTGTGTACACCATCTTTCCACGTCATTTGGTCTTCTCGTTTCCTCTCAGGTTGGACTTTTTCAGTCTGCACCTTGCAAAGCTGAAGCAAATGCTGGCGAAAAGCTTTGGCGCAGCAATCTCAGAGCAAAGTTCAGATGAACTAGTCGCAGTCTTCAACAGCTCCGTTCGTCACAAAACAACATCACCCACCAACGCAAAAATGCTCTAAAGCAGAACCGCTTGGCTGAACCCACCTTGCACAGCAGACAGGGCCATGAGCAGCGCAATGCGCGTTGCTGGGCTCAAGGAAGAAACGCCAGCATTCTCTGCCAGAGTAGCCGTCAAAGCGTCGAGATCCTTGGCAAATGCAGCCAGGCCATGCAATGCTCACAAACACACAATGAAACTGTGGCCACCTCATCTACGTGTTAATTGCTAGGCTGAATGTCAGCACGCACGAGTTGCAAGCCAGGGTCTGGAGAGGTTAGCACTCCACTGGTGGCAACTTGCCAAAGCACAACAGAAAGTGAGGCGAAGAAGGCCTCAAAGCGCAATGATTCCTGTCTCTACCAGGTGGTGCACAGATCAGCAAGAAATGTACGAATGGTCAAATCACAGCATTCGAGGTGTTGAAACATGTGCTGCAGTGATATATGCTAGACAAACTTGTGGACCTCACATGCCCCTGCACCCATACCGTTTTGAGATGTTTTGAGGGTGAAACTGGATGAGAGAGGCTTCCACTACAGATTTGAAGCGTTGGCCTCAATGGAAACCCAGAACTGACCCGACAGTTCGGTATCGGCAGTCTTCGGACATACAGCTACCATCTGGGAGAACAATTTTCCAGGCGATGCCACCGTCTTTAAGTGGAATTTGATCATGTACAGTCTCCTCCAACTCCTCCATAATGCATAGTGAGTCCACCTCCAATTCGCCCAGGAGTGTTCCAGCTAAAGATGTGCATCGAATGCCAATCCTCGCCTCACCAGCCGCTTCCGTCGCAGCAATGCACAGTGGCACCACACCCTTTTCAGTGAAGAATCGCCGTCTTGCCCGTTGGTGCCACCGAGAGGAGCTGCGTCGCAAGTCTTCACAGGCTGCTGGGTTGCAAGTACAAAAGCACATGGTGTTTGAGCTGTCAGGAGGGACTGGCCTGTCGCCATCATCAGGCTGTGGATCTTCAACTACCGTGCGGGCAAATGACAAGCAAAGCACCACACTCCACTGTGGCGCCCACTTGTTGTCGATTCCGCAGCAGCAAAAACTGCCATCACAGGTCAGAAGTGGATGGTAGATAGCAGCACTGGGACTTTGGCCAAGCACAAGGCCATTATCCTCCCAGAAAGCCTTGCTGACAACTGTCTCGTGCGCGGTGTTCTCCTCCTCCTCGTCCGTGTCATTGGCGTCACCGTCACCATCACACCACCGCACTGTCAGTTGATCTGGTGCTGCTCCAGTGACAAGACCCTTCCGGCGTTGCCTTGCAGCAGCCCCTGGAGGAATCATGTACACATGCCAGCCCGCCTCAACTTCTTCAAATGACACTGGGTATCCGGCAAACTGGGCTTTCATTTTCGGAGGCTTGAATGGGTAGTCACGTGGGAAAGTAATGCTGTAAACAAACGTAGCTCCGCTGAAGGGACCACGCGAGACTTGCAGTGCAGCTAGCCAAGTGAAATAGTTTGGGGACTCAGGATCATCCGTCGGCTGTGGTTCTAATGTCCAGAGACGACGCTCCTCCTCGAAAGTTCCTAAGGACTTCAGTGGGTTTGTGGAGCCCTCAGGACCTTCTTCATTCCACTGTGACCACTCCTTCCGCAATCGCTTCAGAGCCATGAGCGCCAAGCAACCTCCCAAGATCAGGAGCCAAGAAAAGGTTTGAGCCGAGGACACACGTTCTGCGGAACATAGAAAGCTGAATCCGCAACTGGCCGGTCAGACTGGTCAGACCAATTTGCACTGTCCAATTTGTGAATCTACTTGCACGCTAGGCACCTCGATTTCATCACGTTGCACCTCAAAAGGTTGTGGCACTCTCTTGGGAAGGATGGGGGCGCATCTGAAACTTGAAGAATACACTCCATTGGTTTCTGATGGTGTGCTATATCTCCATTGAAGCAGCCTCTTACAAAAGGACAATGCCGATCCATGACCCGACAAGCAACCAAGAACAAACAGCTGCGCTGTGGCTCCCAAAATGGCTTTACAAAAGAGGGTCCATGGATCATGCCAATCGCTTCTTTGTCCATATTATTTGAACCTTAGCTATGCTATCCAAGGAGCAGGTGAAGCCGCAAGAGTGCTGGCAAAATGCAACAAACGGCGAAAACCTCAGACTGGTGGAAAGAAGGCTTATGTGGTGGTCAGTGATGCTTCATCACCAGCAAGTTCGGCAGGCTCTCTCTCTCTCTCTATGTATGCATATATATATATATGTGCCCCATGAGCACTTCCTCATCATGCACACACAGAGAAAGCTATCAAATCCACAAGCCACCTGCCTTCAATTGTAGATTACCCTTCTGAGCCAGCAAGGCGCATTCCTTGAGCATCCGCTGCTGATTCCCAGTGGCCACACTGGAGGATGCGGCCAACCCAAAGCTCGGCAGTAGCGTCCCGGCCAGCTGCAAAAGCCTGGGATCTAGCGAGGAGCACAAACAGAGTTGGTCCAAGAAAACAATGTCTCATCGGCCCAGGCAATACGGGAACCCGTGGCATCCACGCTGTGATGCAAACTGGCTTTGAGACATGTTGCAAGTATAGACCCTGATGGGTGTTGGTTCTTCAGAGAAAGGCCTGATGTTCTCTGGGTGTTTCAAGTCATTCCCTTAAGATGTCATATTATTCTTCTGCATGTGCAGAGTATCACCGCATGGGCAAGCTATGCAATGACAGGAACCGAATGCCAAACTGAATCAACTGAACAAGATGCTGGTTCTGGTCCGATTCTTGCGAAGGATCTTGTGCTTCTCTGAACTCTTCGAACCTGAACACATCATCACTGAGAACCTCTCCTATCACCGGATACCGCTACACCCACAATGCACATCAATGGCATGTTACATGCTGACAGCCCCTTATTGCTGACTGTAGGACCCAACTATATAATTATGGCACGGAGCTCTGCCTTTCCCCCTCCCCCTCCCTCCCCCTCTCCCTCTCCCTCTCCTCTCTCGTCTCTCATCTCTCCTCTCTCCTCTCTCCTCTCTCTCTCTCTCTCAGTTGGGCTGTCACAAAAACACCGGTGTGGCACTCAAACTGGCTCAGGTTCATATCTGCACAGCTCAAATTCATATGGGCTGAACTAGGACATGCTTAGGCTTATTTTCTTAATAGCTACTAGGAACAAGTGCATCGCTTCTAGTAACAAGTGCCTTACTAGTAGTAACAAGAAGCTACTAGTAACATTTAATCTTGTTTTAAGTGGTCTTTATAGCCTGTTCAGCGGACTCCTTGCGAATCACCACACCTCGCCTGGAGGTGAGAATCGCCCAAACTGCTGGGAAGGTACCGATCGGACTGGCTCCTCACCAGATTGAAAACAAAACAGAACATAAGCTGGTTCATGCCAAAAGGATCCAAAAGAACAAGGAAGAAAGCAAAAAAGAGAGGCATAAAAAAAGTAAAAGTTATACAGGTCGAAAGAGAAAAAGGAAAAACATGGTAACATGAAGACTTGGAATACCCTCGATCTCGAGACTTCTCACTTTTGATGCAGCAAGTGCGTCCCTGCCAACCATACAATGCACATCAATGCACACGTGACTCTGAGTTCAATGGCAATGCATGTGCACGACAACATATTTGACAACCAGCAAGGTTGTTCCAACCATCACGTCCAAATTACATCGTCAGGGAAGGTGCACAAGCACGATTGAACTGGGTTTCAAGCTGAAAGCCGCTGTGTCTGAATTGGGCAATTGAATCTTCAGGATTCTTCAGGCACCTTGGAATCTAGCTGCATGGTTGCTTTGCCTGAAGCCTCAAACAAAACATAAACCATGGCGAAGGCAGTCAGTTTCAGATGGCCAGGCCGTGCCCCAGGTAGTTCTAACTGATCCCGTTCGAGTTCGAGTTCAAGTTCGAGTTCGATGCGCGAGATTGCGTGGATCGAGCGAGAGGGGGGG